CCTGCAGATTTGTAATTGTTTTTGACTTGATAATTTCAGTGTTTGGCTTGAGGTCCCAGAGTTTCGTACGGAAATGCTTTGGTCTGCCTTGAAGTCACTGGGAACTAAAAGATCTTTTACGGTTTTATTTGCTGAATAAATAAAACCGTATTTATTCAGCATTTTGATTGAAAATGTGGTTGTTATTTATTTTATTTTCTGTATTAACCCCATTGCTGGGGACATTGTTCTGAATTCTAATGGAATTCATAAATAAATGGAATCTGCAGTAAAATTGTCTTTTGAATATTTTTTTATTTGAATCATACAAATAAAATATATTTGATTTTGAGAAAAATTGCTAACATATACAGGCAATAAAATGTGTTTAAATACAGTTAAGTCAACTTAAAAATATAAAAGGCTGAATTGACAATGTTTAGGTCTGAGAAACTGAATGAGTCATGGTGATAACATGAATATATTATTAGGGGTGATAACTTAAAAAAATCAACTCCGTGTCCAGTGTCAATTTTGTTAGTTTTAACATTAGTTTCAAAATGATCAGGTTCATTAAACTTATCAAAAATTTAAGTATTGATTACTTAAAATGTTAGTTTGTGAAATTATTATGTTTCAGTTCATCAACTTCCTCAAAATAAATGAGTGTGAATAACTTTTCTAGTTTAGAGTAGTAATTACTTAAAATGTTTGTTTGTTGAAATTATTTGTTTTAATGTTGTTCATTTGACCAAAGATTTTAAGTGTAAAGAGCTTGTCTAACTAATGTAATTACTTAAAACATCTTTTTCTCACATTATTCTTTTTAATTTTATCCTTGTCCTCAAAGATTTTGAGCACTAACAAAAGTCTCATTTTAAGTAGAAATTACTTAAAATATTCTTTAACATAGCTAAATATTTTGAGGTAATCAGTTTTATCAAATATTTTGAGTTCATTGAACCTGTTGGGGTTTACAGTGTGATGTTTAAAACTTCTCTACAAAACAGATGTTTTCTTTCATCCAATCATATTGCCACCTAAATGTAATTTGATGAATTGCAGTTTAAAAGTCTTGTTCACAATAGTGAACCATCCTCAAATCTAACTAATGCAGGTGTTGCAGATGTGCTGCAAATGTTGTCAATACCAATGCACCCCATGGAATTTAAAATTAAAACATTTTAGGGATGTATGCTTCTTAAGGCTCCACAGCAAACATTTTCGCCAATATTCTGATTATCTGACCCAGAGAGAAATTTCTCAAATAAGCATTTTAATCATTAAATGATGTTTATTTATATGAAAAACAAATAAATAATTAAAAGGCAGCATGGACATTTAAAATTACCCATTAGGTAACTTAATTTTACTTTGTCTCTTTTTATTCTATCATGTCAGGAACCAATCTCTGATGAGTCTCTCAAGGCCATTCATCTCCTTCTAAAACCACAAGAGAGCCGAAAAAGCTTTTTCCATCTATGCAGTACCATAACTAAAGTCATGTAAACAAATTGTGTGCAAATGTGTAACAGGAACATAACTATGAAAATGGGTTTGCACACTTACACATTTCTCCTTTATATTATATATTTTTATTCGGGGGTTGAATTCAAAATTAAATTTGCCTGTGAATTTAATTGTCTTACTGCAGAACTAAAGATATTACAACACAATTTGTTTTCTTATATTTAAATATTAGCCTTTAAACCTACTTCATGTTGTCAAATGGTTTCTATTTAAACAGTTGCTTGAATCTAGAAATCAGGCAGTAATCAGGCTAAGGTGTATCTTCAAAAGTTAGGGTACGGTTGGCCTGTTAGGGGAGTGTTGGCCAAGTGGTTAGAGCAGTGCCTTTATGCTCTGAGAAGGTTGCAAGTACCTGGTTTGATCCCCACAGGCTGCACTCTGGGTCTCTGAGCAAGACCCTTAACCCCACACTGCTCCCCTTTCACTGCAGAGTGGCAGCTGTAAATTTCTCCAATGTGAGATCAATAAAGTTCTATTCTATTATAATGTTTTGGACATACACTATATTGCCAAAAGTATTTGCTCACCCATCCAAATTATTGGAATCAGGTGTTCCAATCACTTCCATGGCCACAGGTGTATAAATTCAAACACCTAGGCATGCAGACTGTTTTTACAAACATTTGTGAAAGAATGGGTCGCTCTCAGGAGCTCAGTGAATTCCAGCGTGGAACTGTGATAGGATGCCACCTGTGCAACAAATCCAGTCGTGAAATTTCCTCGCTCCTAAATATTCCACAGTCAACTGTCAGCTGTATTATAAGAAAATGGAAGTGTTTGGGAACGACAGCAACTCAGCCACGAAGTGGTAGGCCACGTAAACTGACGGAGCGGGGTCAGCGGATGCTGACGCGCATAGTGCGAAGAGGTCGCCAACTTTCTGCAGAGTCAATCACTACAGACCTCCAAACTTCATGTGGCCTTCAGATTAGCTCAAGAACAGTGCGCAGAGAGCTTCATGGAATGGGTTTCCATGGTCGAGCAGCTGCATCCAAGCCATACATCACCAAGTGCAATGCAAAGCGTCGGATGCGGTGGTGTAAAGCACGCCGCCACTGGACTCTAGAGCAGTGGAGACGCGTTCTCTGGAGTGACGAATCGCGCTTCTCCATCTGGCAATCTGATGGACGGGTCTGGGTTTGGCGGTTGCCAGGAGAACGGTACTTGTCTGACTGCATTGTGCCAAGTGTAAAGTTTGGTGGAGGGGGGATTATGGTGTGAGGTTGTTTTTCAGGAGCTGGGCTTGGCCCCTTAGTTCCAGTGAAAGGAACTCTGAATGCTTCAGCATACCAAGACATTTTGGACAATTCCATGCTCCCAACTTTGTGGGAACAGTTTGGAGCTGGCCCCTTCCTCTTCCAACATGACTGTGCACCAGTGCACAAAGCAAGGTCCATAAAGACATGGATGACAGAGTCTGGTGTGGATGAACTTGACTGGCCTGCACAGAGTCCTGACCTCAACCCGATAGAACACCTTTGGGATGAATTAGAGCGGAGACTGAGAGCCAGGCCTTCTCGTCCAACATCAGTGTGCGACCTCACAAATGCGCTTCTGGAAGAATGGTCAAAAATTCCCATAAACACACTCCTAAACCTTGTGGACAGCCTTCCCAGAAGAGTTGAAGCTGTTCTAGCTGCAAAGGGTGGACCGACGTCATATTGAACCCTATGGATTAGGAACGGGATGTCACTTAAGCTCATATGTGAGTCAAGGCAGGTGAGCAAATACTTTTGGCAATATAGTGTATATCCAAAAATGTGCTGAATCATAGTGAGCTTTTATCACAGAAAATGGTAAATGGCCTGTATTTATAGTGCATTTTTTTAAGTCAGGAGACTTGACCAAAGTTCTTTACACTAAATTTCAGTCATTCACCCATTCACGCACACATTCACGCACTGATGGTGGCAAGCTACATTGTAGCCACACCTGCCCTTGGGCTCACTGACAGAAGCAAGGCTGCCGTACACTGGCCCACCGCTCCATCTGACCCCCATCAAAGGTGCAATTATACATTTCACACAAGATATATTATCGTTCAATCTTTTAAAAACTTTATATTCAATCAACTTCCCTTTGTCTGATATCAGCATTTGTTTGGTGTCCTGAAACATTTGAACTTGATCTTAAAAAGTAGATAGAAATTGAAATATTTTAGGATTTATTCATTTTCTCGTGTTTACTTTAGACAATGTATTTCAGCTATATTGAGATGGTTGTTAAAGGGTAAGGCCTAATTTAAAGTTGTACATTGACACAAGACTCAAATAGAGCAACTATTTTCATACTTTCGTAAAATATCACCATTTCCCTTCAGGCCTGTCAATGTCTTCTTTGGCAAACAATTGAAGGACTGTGTACAGTTGCTAGTATGGCTTTGCACAGGTGTCCACAATTTGTTAGAGCCAGAAATAACTTTTGATAATTTTGTAATCACATTGGAGCTGATCACTGGTGGAGCCTTTCCTATTTCGGATATTGCCAGATACAGATAGATGGTACTTGACAGATTTCTTACAAGTCTCATTGGTTTTTGTTTTCTGTTTTTTCAAATAATTCTAGTAATTTGATCATTTTAGCTTAGTAGGACAAAATATTGTAGTTGTGAAAGAGGCAAAAAAAAAAACAGTATATGGAGGCATGCAAATGGGAGAATACAACAAATAAAAAGGACAAACAACTGGCAATTTTATTTCAAAAACAGACTTCCCAACATAACAAAAAAAAACTTCTCAGGAAAAAAGACAGACAAAATAAAATAATTCAATAAAATGAAAAAAAAAAAACAGCAGTCCATTTACATAAAATAAGAGAAAACATGATTATGATGGATTGTTTAAAAAAAATAAACTTCTAGAGCAGGTAGGAACTATGGAGATAATATGTTATAAATATTATAACCTGTCAATTAACCAAGAAACTAACAGCTTATAATTTTCTGCACTTGTTGTAGTTTTCCCCTCTCCATATCATATAATTTTTCTACAGCAGGATGTTTTTTTGTTTTGTTTTTTTTAAACAATATCTTAATGTCTCATTTTAATCAGGCTTTGGAAGGAATGCACTATAAGCATCATGTAAAACATTTGCATTTTCCAAAACAGAAACATCTGTGTGACTCCTATCATTTACAGAATGAATCATTTTGAACAGTTCAGATTAATGATTCAGTTATAGAAAATCAGCAGCTCCTAGGCGATGACTGGAAGGTGTTGGTTTGATATTTCTCAGAAGAAATGATTATCCACCTATGAACATGGTTTGTACCAATGTAACAGTGATGAAATGGTTTGTTGCTGTTGGATTTAAACCGATTCTAACATATTTTCACAAATAATACTGATAATAGGCTAATCCACCCTTCAAACAACATAAGGTAAGGTTTTGTGGATGTTTTTTTAAACATGTTTTTTGCAGTACTGATCAGTCACAGTGAAATAGTTCATCTTTCTTGACTAAAATGCGTCATCCAGGGGTGTCTGTCTCACCTCGATGCCCAGCTTCTGTTTCAGGACCAGGGCGGCGCACAGGTAGCCCGCCCGCCCCACGAACAGCTCATCGGAGCCGCACTCCAGGAAATTGATGGGCGCACACACCTCCCACAGACTCCGAAACTTGCTCAGCGGCTTCACGAAATCGGCCAAGCCCAAGGACTTGTATATCATCGCGGCCACCGCGTATATACCGGCCCCGCCGAGCAGGAAGGCGGCTCGCATGTTCTTGTCCGGCTCTGCGTCCGCGTACCTCACCGACACGTCGATGATCTGCTTGGCCGTCTTCAGGTAGACCTCCCGCTGCTCGGAGAACAGAGGACACTCGCTGACGTGATACAGCATGTAAGCCACTCCAGCCGGCCCGTCGTACAGCCCCCCATCGCAGTCGTTGATGTCGATGGGAACCTTTTTTAAGATTCTTTCAATTTTGGCAACGACTGCTGGGATGACGGCCTCCGCGCCCTGGCCCGGCAGCAGCGCGCCTCTGTAGTCGGAGAAGCGGTTGGCGAAGCAGCGGGTGTTCTCCATGACGGAGAAGAGGCTAAAACCTGAGCTCCCTCTCTGTTTCTCTCTGCTCTAGGTATCCAAGGATAGGAGAGGAAAAACAATTGGACTGCGCACCAGGTTCCTTCAGGCCGCAGCTGATTGGATGGGAGCGGTGATGGATGGATGATGGGACGCGCAGCTTGTCCGCCTCCAGGAGCTGCAGCAGCCCTGATGCACACAGGTGGAGAGGAGCGAGTTTGCATCAAGCAGTGCTTCTCCTTTAGACTGTGGAATATTTTGAGAGGAAATTCTACATATTTGCTTGTTAGGACTATGCATGGGCGTAGGTGTGCATATGGTTTCACAGTTTTGGTTCTGTTATGTTTTCTTTTGAGTCCTCAGTTTTACATTGCTCCATGTTTTCTGGTTTTAGTGGTTTAATTCTTATTTTGTTGTGTTTTCTGGTTATTTTCAGTTTTCAGGTTTTTATTTCTTGCCCTCTGCTGTCCTCTTTTGTTCTCCTTTTTCCCTAGCTCCTTTCCTGTTCTGCTCTGTTCACACCTGCTTCCAATCTGCTTGTTAGTCCTCTCTTTGTTTCAGTCTCCCATAAATACACTCTCTGTTCAGTTCCTCGGTGATGGTTCCTCATCTAACTTCCTCTAACTCCCTCTCTCTGAGTCCTCCTCCTCGTGATAGTTTCCCCCCTGGCGTCTCCATGGTTTCTGGTTTGTTTGACTTTGTTTTCATGTTTGATTTTTTTCTGATTTTGGATTCCTGCCTCAGTTGTTTGTTTACTCTTAATTAAATCATCGAGAAACTCACCTCTGCCTCCCTGTCTCTGCATTTGGGTCCTCACATCACAATCTAATCTTGACATAGGGACCATAGGTACAGGTCCTTACCAAAATTTTGGCCCGACCTACCTGTCCCTACCAATAATTCTATGTGAAAAACATGTTTATAATTTACAATCCAGCGTTGTTGTAGCAGTAGCTTCTTTTCTCACAACTTGTATATTGAAGTCAATATTTTAAATGCTGACTGTCAGTTCCTCTTATAGTTCCCACACCCATGTAAATACAATAACTCTATTTGTAGTCCCTTGTTATTTTGCTTTGTTTTACAATACAGAGAATATCAGCATATCAGATAAAAAAAACAAGAGTGGGTTTTACCTCTGTTTACCTCTGCATATTACCTATAGAAAATGACGGATAAATACACATACAACAGACATATTTAGACTATATTTGGTTGAAAAGGCACATACCCTCCGTCTTAGTCCCTGGTAAGTTCAAATGTAACAATTTTACATTTTTCTGAGCCACTGATGCTTCAAACATTGATAAACAGCATCTTGTGTGTAGTCCTTATAAAATGTGTATAAATGTAGCAAAAAATGCTGTTTTCTCTTTCAAGGAAATGCGCCGTGATGCTTACGTCAAGCATAAAAAAAAATAGGAGCATGCATAATGCGTAGGACCAAAGACATCAGACCAATTCAACTTAAGACCAATAGTGTCCCTACCAAAGTTGAGATCAAACCTATGCTCCTGGGACTATGTACCCAACCCAAGGGTGTAACTTTGTGATGAAATTTCGTGGTGACACTCTAAGGGTGGGGGCTGATGGACTTACAGTTACAGTACTTGACATAAACGCTTTTAATAGGGTTTGTATTTTCCAGAAATTAGGTCAAACATATATTTATTGAATGCTTTCCTATGTTTGAGATCACAAAAGAACAAAAATACAATGATGTTTATGTTTAGTCTATAGTTAGACATTACTGTATAAAAAAAGGATGAATAACAGCCGATTCTGATGCCAACAGCAATATATCATGCCTCCCTAGTTTGTACGCAATTTTAGGTTAATTCAATCACCCATCCAGAAAAATTTGGATTGATTGATGGATGTTTTCCCTTTCAGCTACACCAGTAATTATCCTCCTTCAAAAGCGGCGAAATCAAATTTAGAAAATTGTTCCACATATTGTTGAGAGCCAAAGTCTATGTATTGAAATTATTTGTGGGGACATGTCTCCACCAGTTCTTCAGAAAGTTACATCTGTGACCCAACCCATACACACTGATATCCAAAATAAAACCCACGTCAACCAGCAACTCTCAGAATGCATCTGTTTAGGGCTGCAACTAACGATTATCTTGCAAATCCATTCATCTGTTGATTATTTTTTTTCCCGATTGATTAATATTGATAGATAGCAAAAGGTTCCATAAGATTCTTTAGGTGAAACAAAAAGTTTTCCACTTAGGTAGCTCTGAATAGAGCATATTGACAGACGAAAAACATTTTTTTTTATCTTGCTGATGAAAGTTCTCAGTCATCCAGGTCATAGTCATTCCGTAAAAATTCAAAAAATATCCACTGGACTTGGTTTCGAAGATTTGAAGATGTTTCTCCACCTCTCCAGGAAGCTTTCTCAATTCCAATGTCTGGATTGCAGTGAGTTTGAGTCTTATATAGACAAAGCCTTGTATCGCCTGGAAACATGCAAATGGTAACCGATGAATGGGTCGTTTGGTTCCATTGTTAGCCTGTAATATCTGAAACCTGTGTATGATTCTGAGGGTCGGTCGTTAAAAGGGGGGGGATTGCTGTTAAGGGGGGGATTGTCTCCTGTAATACCTGAAACCTGTCTATGATTGTTAAGAGTCGGTCGTTAAGGAGGTATTGTTCAACGGCTGGAGCGTTTTTTTTTTTTATCTTAAATGCAAATGTTTATCTATTTTTTTTTTTTACAATTTTGTTATAAATTCTGCTCTTAGTGGGTCAGCTAAAGGCATGTTTTAGAATCTTTACACACCAGCAAACAATTACTCAGTTACTAAATCAGTTGACAATTATTTCAATAATCAATTAGTCACAATTAATTGGATTAATTGTTTCAGCCCTACATCTGTTTAACATAAAAAGTATAAATTAATTTGTTCTCTTAAGGCCTCTGTGATTACTTAGAAATGTTTGTGAACAAGCAGAATCAGTATAGAAAGGAGAAGAGTATGTAGACATGGTCCCATACTGTATCTAAACTGATGGGTTGGCTGAAGAGACCCATAATTTGAAAGGCAGCAAAGAGGTAACTCTGGAGGAGCTACTGAGATCTACTACATGAATCTGATGACAGTATAGCTAGAAAGAATAGATTGAAACTTATTATTACAAGAGAAATGGCAGAAAAGTTCCAGTTCACTAGTTTCTCTCTACAATCCCAAGTTTTCCCAGTTGAGCTGGGTATTACAAAAGTAAGTATGTTTATTTTTAAAATATTATTCATCGCATGTTTTCAGCTTAAATCTCTTTTCAATCTACTATCTTTTTTTCATCTGACACCAATTATAGTTTTAGATAACCACATCTTATCTTTTTAAATGCACTACACACAAACTACATTTCGTTGCTTTGTAATTGTGAATTTGTAATGAGAATAAAGTTGAATTCTATTCTATTGTATTATTGCACGATGCAACGTTAAATAACAAGCAAGCACAAAATCATTGAAGAATTATCTCTTGGATTACTAACATAAGCTGTTCTAGATCCCGCTAGTTAAAATAAGAGAAACGGAAAGAGAGAAAATGATTGAAATGCCTTTGTGTTTTTTCTTCTGTTACTTTCTTGTATAGCAGATCTCTCAGATCAGCAGCTCAGCTGTTTTCCCTATGGACAACTGTAATGTAACTTTGGACCTCACTTCTAACTTATTGAAACTAAAAATAATTCAACCCATTTCTTAGTTAAACCCCTTGTTTTCAGCCGTCGGTCAATCATTTTGGACTTTTTTTTAAATTATTATTATTTTTATACAGTCTTAAACGCCATTAAAAAAAAGTTTTTTGTGAAGTTCATTCTGCGAATAATTCTTTCGCCATTGCAGTATGTACACTATCCAGCGGTATCTTCATTTAACCTTAATTTAACATTCAACGGTAAGTAATTATTACCAGCAGGTGGCGCCAGAGGGCTGTAGGCTCATTCAGCCGCTGTCCATGGTGCTGAATAAATATGTGATAAAAGAGGCGTAGAGCATGTTCTAATAGAGTACAAAAGGCTGCAAATTTAAAGATAATTCTCATTCGATCTATTAAGCTTTGTATTTAAAATATGTCCATAGAAACAGCAAAAACAAAAATAGATAAATGAAAAAAAAATCTCAAAACAAAATGAATTACAAATAGATCCACCTGAAACATTAAGTTATAGGTATTTAATTAGATATAAATTATTTCCAGGGTATTTGTGAAGCTATATGTAAACTAAAGGGTAACCTTATCAACCAATTCAATGAAAATATATTAAGAAAATATATTTTCAACCCCTCTTTTCTCATTGATTTAAAACTTACATTTTAATTGAATTTAGTTTGTTCTGTTTGTTTTTTATCTAATCTCATTTACACAGTCTTTGAAGGGAAGAATCTCAAGCTGAGTTCTTAATAGTCTATAGCACTTGTTCCCTGAGCCTGGTGATCAAACACATAACAAGGATGAAAAACAAAAACAGGGATGACTCCAGACAGACAAACAAGTATAAAACATGAGTCCATTTCCCAGATGTGAAGTGTGGGAAGGTGAGGGAGTATCTCAATGAGATTTTCACAATAAATGGCTTTGCGCTCAGAATGCGGATTAACTATTAGTTCCTTGAGCTTTTAAAAATAGAGTGAGGCGTAGATTGTTTATTGTGCTGGATAAATCCAAATGAAATTGGACTGCTGTAACTTGATCTAAATATGATTTTAATGTTGGATTGGGAAGAGTTGCCTTGATTTGAATCAAATTTAGATCAACACTGATTCTTCTAATGATTGCATTTTTTTTTTTCTAACAGTTGCATTATGTCTGTTGTGAAGTGGTAAAATGGGCTAAAAAAAACTTGGTTTTAAATGAAAGTGAAATGTTCTGAATGTAGTTGGTGATTAGATTTTTTTTTAAGTCTTTTAAGGAATTTTCTTGGAAATGAATATAATAATGTAATAAGATGGCTTTCGTATTCTGGTCATATTCCAACTGTGCTTTAACATTATTGATGTCAATGTATACCACATACAGTAAGTCATTATAGTTTACTCATAAACCTGGCAAAGTTTTTACTTCAGATATCCTTATTTTCCTTTTGGGTTTTTAAAAATGTTTTTGCTAAATATATTTCCTTTTTTTAATTAG